ATGGAGTCCGAGGCGTTCGAGAAGGTGCGCAACACGCTGTTTGAGGGCGGCAAGGCGGCCGTCGACCTGCTCATCACAGAGATAGCCAACCGCAACTACAGAGGTACTCACGGCAATGATACGAGTGCAGTGTGTGTGTGTGTGTGGACGGCCTGTGCCTCTGCCGCCTCTTTGTGTGTGTGCAGGTCTTCATGACTTCTGGGTCCGTCGGCTGCTGTCGCCCATCGAGAAGCCCTCCCGCAAGCGCATCCGCACCGAAAAGGCACCCTCCGTGTCGGCCGGCGGTGTGGATGAGCTGCGGGGGTTCTGCAAGGCCGTCGAGCCGTTCGTCAGCAGCTACATGGCGGAGAAGGACAAACTAGTCGAGGGGCTGCAGCAGCAGAAGCACCAGTATGACGGCCTCATGAAGGAAGTCACGGTAGGCATCGAGGGCGGGAGATGGGGAAGGATGTGTTCACGCGGGTGAAAATGTGTGTGTGTGGGTGTATGTGTGTGTTTATGTGTCTTGGCAGGCTGTGGGTCCCTTCCTGAAGCCCGTCAGTGGCGACGATCCCATTCGCTCGGTGGAGGTGTGCGGCAGGATAATCTCGACGGCCGAGTCGTCTCTCACTGAAATGGGCGACATCGCACTGGCAAACCGCTTCCAGCTGTAAGTGAGCACCACACACACACGAGGCCTGCAGGGAGGGTGTTTGACCTGACACAGGCTGCTTGCTGCGTGTGGTCAGGTGGCCTGGTGCAGTTGAAGACGTGTCCGAGGAGCACATCCGTCGATTGGTCGACTACTGCCGCCGCAAACGACAAGCCGCCGCCATCACTGACGAGTGTCTGCAAGGGTGTGTGCGTGTGCCGCTCAAGATGGGCAACAGCAGCAAGCAGGAGTTCTTCAACAAGACGGCCGCCATGTACGGAATCGACCTCAGCCTCATGTAAGGTGACACTTCCTATATGACGATTGATGTGTGTGTAGCGATGAGTATGAGAAGACTCCGTTGGGTGTGCGGTACGAGATCCTGACGGCAGGCACCGGCCCCAAGCCGCAGCTCAGCAGCCACATCCACTACGACAATGTTGAGTGGCGCAACGGATTCAACACCGACTCAAAGATGTTCAACCTTCCGTAAGTGTGTGAACCAGCTTGGTTTGTGAGCATCCGTCTGTGCGCACGTGTGATACCTGCCATAGGGGCTGCAAGAGGCCCGTGTCGGCGCTGAGCAGTTGGTCGCAGGAGGCCTTCACGAGCATGAGGGTGGGCGAGAGGCGGCGTCTCATCGTGCCCCCCTTTGTCCGCAAGCTGTCTGACAACACGACGTCGTACGTAGAACTCAACCTGCTCGACATTATCACCAGGTGACTGAACATGCACACACGGACTTCTATCGATGCGTCGCCGACCGTCTCTGTTCTGTCTTTGTGTATCACGTAGCGGCGAGCCGGTCGCTGCTGCTGCTGCTGCTGCCCAACCGGTGGGTGTCAATTCACGTGCACGGTCACCCATCACCTACACACAAGACGGTCTGTCTGGCTGGGCACAGGCCCCTTTTTCGAGCCTGCCGCAAAGACCGTTGCTGTTTGCCCCGGGCCCCAACTTCTGGAGCAAAGGTGAGTCGAGTCAACGAAACCAACTGTGTCACAACCGGGCGCTGCAGCCACCCAAAGGCCAAGGGCACCACCACGGCACAGAGAAGTGCCAGGAAGGTCAAGGTACGTTTGACTGCACTCATGAGTGGTGGGTCCATCCACCCTCCTTCCCTCCCTGCCTCCCTGGTTCGGCCGTGCACGACTGCTAGGTGAGCCGTCTTGTGCTGCTGTTGTGTTGTGTTGGTTTCAGAATGTCAACGCCCCCAAGAGGTCCCGCAGCGCATTCATTTTCTTCACGATGGACCGCCGTGATGAAGTCGTTAGCCAAAACCCTGATCTAAGAGGGAGGGTCACGGTACACACGATGACACGTATCGGCCATGTATACTGTGTCACTGAACGAATCACTCGATGCACTCATTTATCAATCAGGAGGTGTCCAAGATATTGGGCGCCGAGTGGAAGAGCATGTCGGCCAGGCAGAAGAAGCCGTACGAGACCCAGGCCAAGAGAGACAAGGTCAGACACTCACTCACACGCGCACACCAAAACCTGATGTCACACGTGCACTAGGGGATCACATCAGGAGCGTTACGAACGGGAGATGAAGGAGTATTACAAGTGATTGCCCAAGTGGGCAATGGGCAGTAGACCGAACACCTCGGTCGTGTAGTGCATTTTTATCGCATGGACAGCTGCGTGCGATATTGAAGGCCTTTATAACATCCGTATCCGATTCCATCCATCCATCTATCCATAGGTCATCGACAAAGAACCAGCTTGAACAAACACCGCTGGCAAGCCGCACACGCGCCACCAGAAACGCGTGCATCCGGCCAGGCCACAGAGAGCTTAGGTGCTCACTCGTGCAGTCAGCCCCACGAGCACACTGCATGAATGAATGACTCCAATCAACCAGCCGGCTCCCTTGCCCAGCCGCAGAGCAACAGTCACATCACACGGCCACTGTACCTCCATCGATGACGGCACTCTCGAGGCTAAATGGCCGGAGCACCCGGCGCCACAACGGCATTGACACTGGGAATCTCATGTCCAGGGCTGCGATGCGCCAGCAGCAGACAGCTCGGTCTTCCACAGATAGACGGAGCCGCTCTCCACCCACAGGTAGGCGGCGACCGTGTCATTGGTCCGGAAGCCGCTCACTACCACGAGACGGCAGCCGTCGCATCTCGTGCATCCCCGGTTCAGGTCGCGATTGTCGTAGCTCAAGTCGACGATTAGGCCGTCTTCCTTGGTGATTTTCGCTTCACCCCTGAGCAGCAGCGACTGATAGGGGCTGACGGCGCTGTCCATGGATGCGGAGAGCACCTCTCTGATGCCCACCTCCTGGCCAGCCCAGGCGCTCAAGAGGCAGTGCAGCAAGAATTCCGTGAAGGAGGGGTAAACACACACGCAGTGGCGGATGACGGGATCGGTCCACTTCACCCGAGCCGATGACCCCACACGAATAGTCGATTGCCGATCTGATACGCCCCGTTGTTGGCTGGCTGCAGGGCCAGGCTGCGCCCGCTGTATGAGAATAGATGTCCGATGGCCTTGTAGAAGGACATGGTGAAGGGCAGCTCGGGGGAAGCCATTGCGGTGGCCATCGAATCGGCCGACAGCACCAGGGGCAGTGTCGTGCCGGCGCGGGTGAGCCGATAGATGGCCGCCAGACGGAGTGGCCCCTCCCCCTCTCCAGCACAGAAATGACCTTCAAAGTACCCTCCACGTCAGCAATCTCGAAGGCCAAAACGTCATGAAGCTCTGTCGGGATCTCTATGACGTGTTGGACCGGCACGTTCGCCAGTGTGACGCCTGCGGAGATCTCTGTAGGTGGCTGCTTGTGCAGCTGCGCCAGAAGTGGAGGCCGCTTCGAGGTGCCGCAGGGAGGGCACTGACTCGGACGCCATAGATAACTGGTCTGAATGAACAACACACAATGGCATGCCGACGATGGACTTGTGTGGAGGTCTTCCTGTCTCCCTTACGTGTGCTGCTGCGAACTAACGGCCTCGCTGCTGTCAACACCTGGACACATGCATCCATGCCATCAATGGGAAAACAATACACATTGAATGCATGCCATGCGTGTCTGTCCTTTCTCGCCTCTTCATCACGGGACATATGGAGAGATCTCAACGGGCACCTCTCCTTTTCAAGCTCGCATCTGTGAGATCGTTCCTTCCCTTCCCCTCCCCGCGAGCCGCCTGGCAGAGAGACTGAGGGAAGGGAAACCAGAGGAGAGAGAGCAGAGAGAGCGAGGACTGCCGCTGCGTCAAGCCACACATGTGGATGCATCCGTGCGTGGAAGGTGTGTAGTTGCACCTCGGGTGGAGGTTTTGCGGTGTACACTCCCTCGATAGCAGAGCCAACGGTATCTGAAGACACGTACAGCGCAACAACACGGGCCTGCCTGCACTCATGTCGTCTGCGTGCCATCAGATCTATTGCTCAGTCACTGCAGCCCTACGTAGAACCGTCAGGAAGGTCGACCTATTGTCCGTCAGCCATGAGGAAGCTATGGCTGACTGTCGCGTCAGTCTGCGCTGCCCTGCTCCCCATGGCGGCAGCGCAGCTTGGGGAGTCGTTCTCCGAGGTAAGATCGGAATGAATGATGGGCGCCAGTCGACACACCTGCATGTATTGTGTTGTGTTGTGCGTTATCCAGGACTCCATGGGAAGTCCGGGTGGTGACTTCCCTCAGGGACCTCCCCCGGATGCTTACGGCCCGCAGGGACCTGCCCCTGAGCAATTTCTTTATCCAACGTATCTGCCGGAACCGCAGCCGGCTCCGATGGATCCGTATCCCGAACCAATGCCTCAAGAGCCGGCACCCGTCGAGCCGATGCCTCAAGAGCCGCCACCCGTGGAGCCGATGCCTCAAGAGCCGCCACCCGT